AATTTCTCTAAAAGCCATTAAAACTAGTAATGAATATAATATTCATTATGTATAATCGCCTTTTATTTTATAACTAATGATGTTTTCTGTACAGCAAATGATCTAAATTTTGTTTTTATCGTTTGTCTCCCTATTATACGTGCGTTTACTTCAGTGCCCGTCATATTCTGTATGTGTGTCTGTAGTGCACCACAAGAATCGCTTCCCAAACAACAGTCCCTATTATAACCAGAAAACATACACAAAGATTAAGTCATTTTCACAATTCTGTGTATATTTCTAAAGCACATCTCATCCATCAAATAAGTCGACCGCAAGATTGTGTAAAACAGCGATAAATTATTATAACATTTCAATTCGTAAGTACGGCTAATATATTGTAGTAAATACTAATTCATAGCTACTTACTGTATACATAATCGTGAAACAAATGCACTGTAAGAATAATTGATAATTAGTTTTTTGTTCAATCGCTTATCAAAAGAATTGTTAATTTATTTTCTGCCCCTCGAAAAAAACCCGATGAAACGCTTATTATTTATTATAGCGTTTGATTTGTGATACTTTGTAATGTATTTTATATTTATATGATATTTATTGCCTAGTATATTAAAAATCATACCCATTCACTAAATGCTGTGCTAATTGTTTATTTGCCATAAATAATAATAAATACATGCTTTCGAGGCACAGGTATGTTATGTTAATACGAATGTAACTCTTTTTTTCTAAATACGTTAAACAAATACCACAACCGATATACCTATAATTAAATGTTTTAAAAAACACTGATTTTATTTGTTTCGTGAAAAACGTGTTTCCAATCCCTTATGCCATTCATACAAACTCTATAATTAAGACATTTTTCTTACGTACTCTGGTTTTTAATACCTATAATTAAATGTTTTAAAAAACACTGATTTTATTTGTTTCGTGAAAAACGTGTTTCCAATCCCTTATGCCATTCATACAAACTCTATAATTAAGACATTTTTCTTACGTACTCTGGTTTTTTAAATAGCATTGAAAAATTCATTTCGCAAAACAAAAGTTAAACTCAATTACTATTGTGATCTCACTTTACAAGCATAATTACTGGTTATGAATAATTTTTCTCCAGCAGAATAGGTTATGTAATACTTTTATTGTGAATTTTAAAAAAGGCACAGTTAGTTATAATTATGTACATACACAAATATTATTATTAGATTAAGTAGCCGTCCAATCGATGGATACTATTAATACCCGTATTAATATGCAATACAATTTTAATTATATGTATTTGTGATAGCCATGTTACTAGTATTTATATGTTTCTAAATGCCATTTACATTACGCGCACAGAAGTGATAGAAAAAGTAATTTTTTCATTAATTATTCAAATACTAGTTTCCATGTTAAAGGGATCGGGATATCAAACAGCGATTTTCAGATCGTCGATGATATGCACTGTAAGTCTGTGCATAATTCAAGGCAATATTGGGGTCATTGGTGAAGGGCAAGGCTTCCCTTGCATTCCCAAATACCTATAATTAAATGTTTTAAAAAACACTGATTTTATTTGTTTCGTGAAAAACGTGTTTCCAATCCCTTATGCCATTCATACAAACTCTATAATTAAGACATTTTTCTTACGTACTCTGGTTTTTAAAATAGCATTGAAAAATTCATTTCGCAAAACAAAAGTTAAACTCAATTACTATTGTGATCTCACTTTACAAACATAATTACTGGTTATGAATAATTTTTCTCCAGCAGAATAGGTTATGTAATACTTTTATTGTGAATTTTTAAAAAGGCACAGTTAGTTATAATTATGTACATACACAAATATTATTATTAGATTAAGTAGCCGTCCAATCGATGGATACTATTAATACCCGTATTAATATGCACTACTATTTTAATTATATGTATTTGTGATACCCATGTTACTAGTATTTATATGTTTCTAAATGCCATTTACATTACGCGCACAGAAGTGATAGAAAAAGTAATTTTTTCATTAATTATTCAAATACTAGTTTCCATGTTAAAGGGATCGGGATATCAAACAGCGATTTTCAGATCGTCGATGATATGCACTGTAAGTCTGTGCATAATTCAAGGCAATATTGGGGTCATTGGTGAAGGGCAAGGCTTCCCTTGCATTCCCAATAAGTATTACATATACTCTCATATGAATGCCATTATTACAACAAATAGATAGCACAGTTTGCACTGTACTTATGTGAGCATGATACTTTTTTTTATAAAGCTATTCAGTGCGTAGAGTTCGAGCTCCTTGACTGCCCTTCACCAGCCACTCGAGTGGGTATAAGTGACATACCCTTACCTGGTGTTTGTGTGGGACAGCATCGATAAAATATCTATTAATTATATTTGCATTGTATATCAATAAATAGTGAGTTGTAATTAAAAGCGATTTTAAATCTACGAGCAGTTTATAAATTATAGCTTTTAATAGATTTAATAGAGAAATTTTTGAGGATTTTTGTTTATTTATAAATTATATCAATGTGAGTGAGTGAGTGAGTGAGAGAGAGGGAGAGGGAGAGAGAGAGTATTGTATGGTGTTGTCTGAATAGTTTATACAGGTACAGTATAAATTTTGCTGGAAACCCTCCCAAAATATATTCATTGAATAAATACTGTAGTTGGAGTCAATACTAAATTCGTTTACACCATACCTCCCTGTGTAGGATAAACCTGTATTGAATACTTTATATTAGTTATTTAGTTATATAACCATAATATCATGTATATAATCATATTGTTTATTATTTTGTTTGATGCCATATATTCTATATGAACTGATTCTTAATAGAGCTTAACGTTTATTATTATAGTATTATTATTGTATCTCATATTCAATAATAATAATAAACAGAGAGTTTTGTAACTTTTTGGTTAAATGTACTCTTAATTAACATTTGGATTTTATTACTTTTTTCTCTCTCGATAATACACATTAAAACACATTCTTAGACCTCATTAAATAAATTCCATTCAAACAACAAAACAATTCTTGGTTTTTGTTTAATGAAAATTCTTCGCTTGTTTATGAACCGCGATATTAATGTTATGAAATATACTGTATATTTGGTTTGGAAGTTGTGTTTAATTTAAAAACACATAGAGATTACATATGCGAGTGAGGGATCATAGAGTTTGTTGAGTCAATTAAATTGGCATTCATTTGGTTATGGCATTCAGCCACTGGTATTATATAAAGTTATACCAGTTTTATCGTTCAATTTTCAATGGTCACACAACATGTGATGATATTTTTTCAGATGATTACCAGTTTTTTGCATAATATATGATACGTCAATATACAGAAGTCGTAACTCGTGTTTGAAAAATACTTTTTTTGTATTTTATTTCATTAGCGAAAACTTTTTCTACTGGTGTCAAGAGTTGTTGAACTTTTTTATGCACTTTTTAAATGCATTTTAATTTCCATGAGAGAGAGAGAGAGAGAGAGAGAGAGAGAGAGAGAAATGATTAAGTTATTATTCATAATATACCTAACGGTTAGCGCACTTGCATGCCATCGAAGGCTTTAATCATACATTAACTGTAAAAATGCTGCTTTTTGTTTATTTATAAATTATATCAATGTGAGTGAGTGAGTGAGTGAGAGAGAGAGAGAGAGAGAGAGAGAGATGTTTTTAATTTAGTCGTCATAAAAATTAATATAAATATCAAAATGCAAAATAGGGTGCAAATGAGTTTTGGTAGTCACCGATATTCTCTGAGCTTGAGGCCAGGCATACACCTGTCAGTACACTCACCAGCAAATTGAGAAATACTTCAAATAACTCTCTATTAACAGACAAATGACACGAAATACTTATTGATATAATATTACGATATAATGAAGTATTGAATTAATTAATAGACATTTTTTTCGCCGGACTCTTTATATTTGAATCGACATTTTAGATCAACATTTACTTTAAGTAAAAATATATTTTCAACGACTGAACGATAAACATCTTAAATGAACCCCATATTCAACACGTATATCAGTATTAGTTTTTATATAAACTTTTTTCAATTATGAAAAAAGTTTTTCCCCATTAGATATACCATTAGGAAATAAAAGTTTTCGTAAAAAGTCTAATATTTATTTTTAAGTGCAATTATATTTCATAAGTCGAAGTAAATTGTGTATGGTATTTATCTATCAAAAAGGCCATTTAATTATGAATAAAAACTTATTTGCTGATAACAAATTCAAGTCTGTATAGTTTTTTTCGTAGTCACATACAAATATGTTATGCACTTCTCAATGCCTTCATTCAATTCATATGCACTTTATTTAGTACTTTAACATTAATTATAAGGAATACCATTATATCAATAGTACACACAAATGAGATGAATCACGGAAACAGGTATTCATCCATAAAAGCCATTCATTTTAACTGTATTTTTATATTTGTATTAATGTTTAGCTGGAAAATAATGCTTTTCTGTATATATAGTTTTAATTATAATAATGAGCAAAACTTTCGAAATAAACTTGAATTCATGGAAATTATTTTGCCAAACGAATATATAAATATAATGTATATGAATTAAAGGATCAAATATGTCTGAAACTTAGTAATGCTTTGGTTTTCACATTTAATATACAATTTTCAATAGAAATTAGTAATTTTTGATATACTTTAAATATGTTATTTGACAACCAATGCATTACTAAGTTTCAGACATATGGCTCTCTTTGATCCTTTAATTCATATATATATATTCATGTATATAAAACTTATATATGTATATTAATATATGTATATTCTGTCTCTTATTTATTATGCATTTTATATTCAGACCACACTTTACTTGAATGTTGTAACCCATAGACTGTGTCCTAATTTATACGAACTAATAAATGCACTTTTGTTTTGCCTCTTTTTATAATATGCACTTTATTTAGTACTTTAACATTAATTATAAGGAATACCATTATATCAATAGTACACACAAATGAGATGAATCACGGAAACAGGTATTCATCCATAAAAGCCATTCATTTTAACTGTATTTGTTATATTTGTATTAATGTTTAGCTGGAAAATAAAAATGCTTTTCTGTATATATAGTTTTAATTATAATAATGAGCAAAACTTTCGAAATAAACTTGAATTCATGGAAATTATTTTGCCAAACGAATATATAAATATAATGTGTATATATATTCATGTATATAAAACTTATATATGTATATTATAAATAATATAAGACAGAGAATAAATAATACGTAAAATATAAGTCTGGTGTGAAATGAACTTACAACATTGGGTATCTGACACAGGATTAAATATGCTTGATTATTTACGTGAAAACAAAACGGAGAAAAATAGCCGTTTTACACACTTTTATATTCAAAAATAAATGCATAACTTTTATAGCATACATGCTACGGTATGTGTTTGAGGTTTTATTTTGGGTGTATTATTATAATTGGCAGAATTAATAACATTATATTCTCTCTCCAGTAGTAGTGTATGACTATTGTGTGGTGTATAGACGTGTGTAGCGAATGGTGAAGTTTAGCACAACGATTAGAGTACATGAGTTTATTTCGATGCAAAAAAAGTTTATAATTAATCAATGAATAGCTGATGAGTTCAGTTGTAAATTGATTGTCTCATCGCATGTCTATTAGCATTAAGACCAGTGTATGTATGCGTCGATTCTGTTCAATGATTATTAGCTTTTAGTTTTCATTGTCTAATGTTTCTGTCAGTCTCTCTCAGCGTTCAGTAGTTGTAGACAACAAATAGTGTATAAATGAAAAGTCCATAAAAAGCCTATTGATAGACGAGTGATAGAGAAAGTCATTCAACCATTTGCCTGAATATATATATTCTCTAACATTATTCATTCAATTAAATATAATAGTCTCTACAAATTTATGTATCACATTATCCACTCGTGACAATTGCATGTATATCATAAATCTGTCCGACACTATGTACTCATATATAGTCAGCGCCCGATACGAGCCATTATAATATGTTAAACATATGCAACAATAAACTAATATTCAAATTAACGCTCAATTCCTATGTGATACCCATCTCTGAACACGACTTTCCATTTGTATCGATACGACAGCTCATCGCCACTACTTCATCGCAAATCATCCGTCAATCGCTACGAGACCATAGGCGCCGATATGGACAGGGATGTCGAGACGACCAAATCGACGGCCCGTAAGCCGGCGGTGTCCACGTTCATAGCCGCCGGGTCCGCACTGTTGGGCGCTATCGGTATGAGACGCGAAATAAAACTAATTTTTTTCGTTCATTAGATTTAATCATAAAATAAAAACTCATTACCCGTAAGCCGGCGGTGTCCACGTTCATAGCCGCCGGGTCCGCACTGTTGGGCGCTATCGGTATGAGACGCGAAATAAAACTAATTTTTTTCGTTCATTAGATTTAATCATAAAATAAAAACTCATTTATTTTTTGGCGCTCCGTAGCGATGGGTACTGTCCTGGGATGGAGTTCCCCCGCCATCACCAGTATGGGCGACACCGACAGCAGCCCACGGCTCACCGACTCGGGTACGCAGACGGAGGCCTGGATCAAGTCGAGCACTACGTTGGGCGCACTGGTAGGCGCGCTGGCATCCGGTACGCGGTGTTTGCGAAATAATGATTTAATTATTTCGCATGAATTTAATGGCAATTATTTTTATATATGTTTTAATTTCTCGTTTGTCAGGACCGTTGGCGCAGGTGTTGGGACGTAAAATGGCGCTAATATTATATGGCCTTCCCATGTTGGCCGGGTTTGGCTGCCTGTGGTTGGCCTCCAATTTTGCCACAATTATCATCGGCCGGACGCTGACAGGTCTGGGCGCGGGGCTCGTGTCCGGCACTGCGCCCACATATGTGGTGGAGATCAGCACCGATAACATCCGCGGCCTATTGGGAGCGGGATTTCAGGTACGGTAGACATGCATAAAAGCAAACCATGTACACTATTCACCCAACACTGTCCACCCGGCGCCTACAGCTCAGCGTCACTATCGGCATATTTTTGGTGTATTTGTTCGGCGCGTTCATATCGTGGAGTTGGCTGTCCTTCATGTGTCTGTTCCCACCGTTAGCGATGTGCGCGCTGATGGTGTTGATGCCGGAGACGCCCATATGGCTGATGACGAGGTCGGGTGGCGACCACTCGAAGGGCTCGAAAGTGGAGCAGTCGTTGCAGAAGCTGAGGGCCGCCGACAACGACAACGAGTCGGAGCTGAAAGAACTGGCCGAACAGACCCGGGAGACGCAGGGCTCCAGCGGTTTCTCGTTTCGCGAGTCCTCCACAAACCCCCTCTTCTACAAACCCCTGGTCCTGTCGGTGCTGTTGATGTTTTTCCAGCAATTTTCCGGCATAAACGCCGTGATGTTCAACTCGGCGGCCATGATCAAGCAGGCGGGCAGCTCGATAGAGGGCCGGTACGCGGCCATCATCATAGGTGCCGCCCAAGTGGT